GCAAATATTGATAACAAATTTCAAGGGATCATCCCACCTATCCTGAGCTGTGGATAGTAGTGGCCTTGAGTGAAAAGGGAGAAAATTAGAGAAATTGATCATGACAGCCAATATACATAATATTGGGCTCACATACATACCGTAATACCAGAGTCCTGTAAGAAAATAGATGAAAATTATTAGTATACTTTTCTTGCTGCTTCTTAGTTACTATTGCTGGCTATGTTAAAGTCTATAATCTTATATTATTATTATAAATTGTAGCGTGTAGTTTCTTAATATTGACTGAATGAGATAGATCTGAAAAATCAATGTATGTGTATATATTATGTGTGCTCAAAGGTGTATATGTGAACAACCAAAAGTCAGGCTCCATAGGTAGAGTTACCACACAGCTGGTGAAACGAAGGCATGTCCTTTTTGTCCTCTGTCAGGCAGGCATAGTCTTAAAATCAAATATTGTTTCGTTTTTTGAGTATCTAATATGCTATCTTCCCAAGCATTTTTTTTTTTGCAGCTTTGTGATTAACCGCAAGTTAACAAGTTCTGCTCTGTGACCTTAATTGTCGATTAGAACCCATAGCCAGCTTGCTCTACTGCCTCAAATTACAAAATCATAATCAAGAGCACACCTGGTTTCTCTATGCTTCTTCATCTTTGAAATTCCATGTTTTGCTTTAATTTGCCCCAATTGTTACTGTCCTTTTTTGAGCTGTAATGCCCAGACATGGGCATATTGTTCCAAATGTGGACTGACAGGGCAGAACAGAGTGACCAGTTATTTTCCATGACCTGGCTTTTATGCTAAATTTTATTAATAAATAATCAGTGTGTTTAAGTGCAATATTAAAAAATGTAATTTTCGTTTTATCTGATTTTTAAAATAATCTATTATTGTAGGCTTTTCAAATGAAATGATATTATCTAAGGAAAAAGGCAACTAGATGTTCTGCATTATTCTAGGAGTGTGTGTGTGTGTTCTCAGTAGGAATTTTGAATAAATGATGTTAGCTAATTTTAAATAGTAGGATTCAAGGAGGTGAGAGAGGCAAACTTCACTTTTATTCAAGCAAGTACAGTGTGTTGTTAATCTTTGCCACTTCACTCCATATTTTGACAGGATCCCTATAAAATGCTCTTAGGCCATAAACTGAACATAAGCCTGTTCAATGTGTTCTCTAATTTTAGATGCATTAGCAAGAACTAATGAAGTGTTTAACTGAATTTACTTGTTAAATAAATGCTGTCATGGGTTTTTTTTTCTCTTTTCTTCCCTCTTTTAAAAAAATACCTGGGGAGGCTGCTATATGAGAGGTTAAAAAGAAGGAAGTATTTAAATTAATTTGTCTCTTTTGATCAGACTGAACATTTATACAACAAAAATATTTGCAATTACTTTTTTCCCACATCCATATTGTATTTCACATTCAAAGAGTCTCATAAATGCTTATAAAAGGTGGGAAATTCATGACTGATTCATTAGCTATATGTTGCTAAGTATGATATATAAGATGACATGGCCACATGGATGGACATAAGTAGAACATTTTCTAAGGGTGGAATATCTGGAGTAAGATTTTTATATAATATGCTGACATTGAAAACCACCCAGTGAGTGCTATAAAGCACCATGGGGCAGTATAGTTGCTATAATGATTGTATTCACCTGGGTTTTTTTATCCAACTGTAAGATCCAAGAAAGTACCAAAAAGAATTGATAGTAGAATCTAAGATACTTGATCACAGCCATCTGTCCTAATGATTGCATCAAGAACGACATTATCCTTGAGTTATATTTTCAAAGATAAAAATTGTATATCCTTTTAATGGAAATTAATCCTCCCAAGTGTCATTGTAACACATATGGCATCCATCTATATCAACCCTTATGCCATATGTCTTTGTACTTTCCTCTCAAGTTTTATCAACTTAACTCTGCTGATATATGAAACAAAACTGCTGTTAATTTAATCTATTCCAGAGTAACAAAGCACCATAATAGATACTACCACTTGATCAGATCCATTTAAAGGCAAAGGCAAACTAAGCAGGCAGTTCTTGTTTTGCTTTGTTTTCTTACAAGTCTTAGGGAGAATATCATGGTGAATACACACATTACAGACATTTAAATGGGGAAGGAAAATAATGAGGTAATTCCTTCCTGGACCAGTATATTTCACGCAGGGGTTTAATCTTCATACACCAAAGCCCAAACCTTGCAAAATGGGGAGCAGTGTGGTATAATGGACACTAGATTAATCTAATCCACTTTCAGCAATGGGTGATTTTCGGGCTGGTCCATCTCTCTGCCTACCCTATCTTCATAGGGTACTGATGGTGATAGTTAAGAATGGGAGAAGTGAGCATATGTATTCTTCCTTGAACTCCCAAACAAATCAAATCAAATCAAAATTGGTATCCCATACAATTTGAAAATGAGGTCCCTCCATACCAAATCTGTCCCCCCCCATCAATTTAGACTTTGAACTGGGGTAAAACTGTGCATTCTTTCCAGTCCAAGACTTTCAGAAGATATCTCAGCTTGCTTCCCATAGCAGAGAATGACAAGCTGCTCAGAGGATCTTAAAGAACAAACTATTTTATTATGGCCCTTATTGCAGTGGGGCAGGTTGGGGAAGGAGAGGATTCTAACCTAGCTTCATGTCCGTTTTGTGAGCTTGCAGTGACAAAAATATAGTTAAGGATGTCTTACTTTTTTTGACAACTATAGCAGTACCTAGCAGTAGGACTTACAAAGTAGAGGATGCAGTTGTGTTTTCTTTTTCCACCCTCTTTTCCTATTTGGATTGAATAATTTTATGATACAGGGTTCATATATATTTTATGCATGTGCATTTAAGTTCTGCTTAGTTAGGGATCATCTCTTTATCATCCATGTTTCTCTGAAATGTGTTTCCTAAGAATGAACCTAAATTGTGAATTCAAGCCTCAAACTGAGGCCTAGTATGCACTACAGGAGAATCCTACATTTAGAGCCAGGTAGTGGTTTTCTTGTTGAAAGCTAGCAATCAAAGTTGTTATCTCACTAGAAAGCAACCTTCCTTTTTCCTATACTGATCAGAAAACCTTTCATTTTAGCTGTGCCTTCTTCACTGATTTTTCTCTTATTTTTTGTTGTTCCTTTTCAGCCTCAAATGGGCACCACTGTACCTCTCACTGAGGCTCATGCCTTGATTAATTTTAAGTACCTTCACCTTGCACAGAGGGCAGTGCTCACAGTCCATTTCAGCTTCAGTTGCTAATTTGGCAATAATGGTAGTCTCCACAATGGCAATTAATGAACAAAGGAAGCTTGCACTTTGTGACCTAGCAACCAGGTTCCCTTTAAACTGGTTTCTCTCATTTTCTCTCTCTCTTTCTTTTGTGTACAAGCCCTCAAAGTGCCAGAGGACAGCAGAGTTAAATTTCTTTGTGTCAGTGATCTTTATTATGGATGGCAATACTTGCTCTCCTTTTCCTTTCTTTTCCTTCCTCTCTTTTTGATTTCATTAATTACTTGGCTTTATTTACTCATTATTACATTATGTATTTAGTTCCAAACATGTAAATATCACCATATTTAGTATTATATTTAAATAGTTATCATTTTCTCAAGGCTCCAAAACTCTTTATTAAGCAGCAACCACCATGCTATTTTGCCTGTTTAATTTTTTTTTTACAGCAACTGGATTAATCCAAATATCTTATTGATTTTTCTCCATCAAAAATCATAATGTACCATTTAGATTCTTGCTTTACTTACCATCTATCACTTACGGAGCTCTTTATTTGCTTACATGCCTTGTACTTTTGAAAAGTCTTAATAAATTTCCATTTAGAAACATCATTATATACAAATTTATTTGAATGAGTTCTTTTTCTAGGTTTGCTTGGGTTATGTAGTTCATGCAGTAAAAGAAAATAGTAGACTGAGAAGAAAGAGGAACCATTTTCTGTGGTTTTTTTTTAATGTTTTGCCATAATGTTCAGAGAAAAGCATAGTAATCTGTAAGATCTGCATTAAAAGCAAAATACTATTCTGGAAAAATGTTCAGCATTACCACCATTCTTTTACTTCACAGCTAGTGCATATGAAAACAAAACTGAAAACACTTCCCAGCACACCTTTTATCTCCCTATGCATGCTCATTTTTTTCCTTGCACACATTTCTCACTATATCCCACCATGATCCTTCTCTTTATTTTGCATCACTAAAATCTTTGAAACTTCAGGTGTGCTAATTATGATTCGCTAGTTCTGCACCCTGCAACCTTCCCTGTTGTGTTGCTCTGAGTCTCTTTGCACACCATCCTGCCTCCTTTCTTTCTGCATCTTAATGTTATTTTCCTGTTTCTGGACTGTGACATCTTTTTTCAGCACATTTATTGATCCATTGTTCACTGCACTTATAGGCAAAAAGTAGCTTTAGGAGAAAAGCTATATTCCTCTGTACTTGAGTTGTGATGTGATGTCTCACGTAGTCATGAACTTTACATATTATGACCCAAGTTTCATCATTTGATCCCCTCCCCCAACCCATGGATATTTATGACTGCATCCCCAGTTCTGAGTCTTCACTTCTTTTCTTCCTTTAGTCTCTTTCATAATGTTATTAGTTTATTTGTGAGTTGTATTTAAAGAATTAAAATAGACACAATAAATTGTATGGGGAAAAACAAAAAATCCTGGGAGAATTTTAGATCCTGTTGTTTTGATTCCTTAAAAGTTTTAAAATAGTAGTACTATTTTTGAGTTGAATATGCTTCCAGCTTTCATAGTTTATGTGTTCTGTGCCTAGGAGATTAACATCTTATTTACTAGACTTCATAGTTCTGCATAATTATGAACAAAAGGTGACTTCCAGTTATGTAAGCTCAAGATATAGTATTACTATATAATGCTGTACTAATTGCAATTCTACTTTAAAACTTGGACAAGTAAGCAGCTTTGTTACAGCTTTAGGTAGTTAGAATATTTTTCTATTATTCTCTTTCTTTAGAATCTCCTAATAAGGATATTGGCCCCACCCTGGGATTAAAAAAGTCAAGTTCCCTAGAAAGTCTCCAGACAGCTGTTGCTGAAGTAAAAAAGAATGAGCTTCCATTCTACAGGCCTAGGCCTCACATGGTCCGTGGTAGGGGATGTAACGAGAGTTTCAGAGCTGCCATTGATAAATCCTACGATGGACCTGAAGATGTGGCAGGAGGTAGGTGCACAGAACCTTTCTTCTTTTAGTAAAGAAAACATCTTTTTCAATAAATGTATGTTGTTCTATGAAAATTCATCAGTAAAAATCTGACTTCAAAGAAGAGTTGAATCCAGTTTTGCATATATAATCATAGTTTCGTATGGAACCATACAAACTATACTGCAGTCTATGTAGGGAACTATATTGGGATTCTTGTATTGACCCTTAACCTGACATCTCTGAAAACATGACTGGAGATCATATATTGATCTGATCAATTAGTAGATACCAGTTTTCCATCTTGATATATGTGTACATACATGTATGTATCTGTGTCCAAGTCTTTGGACAGCTCTCTCATATTCTGGTATAATGACCAAAGACCAGTCTTCTTTCCATTTTGATGCATTTATCTAATCTTGTATGTTTTTTTTGTGTGTGAGAGAGCTTACTAAGTACTATTTGAATCTAAGTTTGAATAATGTGTGTATATTTGTAATGTAAAGGCTTGATAGACTTGGTATCAAGCAGGATATATATGACCAAATATAATAAGAGGTGAATAATATGAACAACAGTATCCAGTTAGATTTAGCTATATGTATTTTATGGTCTCTTTAATACAATTAGATGAACATCCATTGTAATGTTATCTCAGTAATGCAGTTATAACAGGATCATTGGAAATGTTTTTTGTTTGCAGTTTATAAAAAGTTGTTTTGCTTATATACATTAATCAGAAAATATATACAGGTAGTCCTCAATTTACGATAATTGAGCCCAAAATTTCTGTTGCTAAATGAGACAGTTATAAAGTAAATTTTATGACCTTTCCTGCCACAATTGTTAAATGAATCACTGCTGTTGTTAAGTTAGTAACATAGTTGTTAAATGAGTCTGGCTTCCCCATTTACTTTGCTTGTTAAAAGGTCGTAGAAGATGACACAAGACCATCATAAATATGAGTCAGTTGCCAAACACCTCAAATTTTGATTATGTGACCATAGGGATGATGCAATGATGCCAGGTGTGAAAAAAAATAATAAGTCACTTTTTTTAGTGTTGTTGTAACATTGAACGGTCACTAAATGAACTGTTGTAAGTCAAGGACTACCTGTTTGTAGTTTATAAGATTATGGTCTGTACTTGCTGATTATTTTTCTTCCTCTGCAGACGGTCTGTCAGATAAGAGTTCCCTTTCTGGTCCAGAAGGTCAAAACTTTGCAAAAGCCTTTCACATGAATTCCGAATTAGAAGATATGGAAGGAAAGTCAAAAAAACACAAGAAGACCAAAGAAAAATTAAAAACAAAAGAAAAAAATAAAAAGCTTAATCTCAAAAACAAATCAAAAATCAGTGAAAAGGACAAAAAAGAGGAGAATGACAATCCTGAAAGAAAAACAAAAAAGAAAAGTTTGGGCGCTATGTTAAGGTAAAAAGTCTTTTTTGTATTGCTTCCTGATCTTATATTAATTTGAACTTGATTTATTTGGCCTGAGGCCCTTCAGTGAGGTTGAGTAGAAGTCAAGCTCTATATCCATTGAACAACATTTACTATAAATGAATACTATATATGCTAACTTTGCTAATACATCAGTTAAACTGCATATTGGAAAGGAGAATATACTTTTCAACATGTACTTGTTAATTATTTTGTTGGGACTTATGACCTATTTTTCCTCAAAACAAACAAACAAACCCTAAAGAGATATTATAACAAATAAACTATTGATTTAGACCAAGCTCACTGAAAGCAGTGAGACTTGATTGAGTCAAGTCTGAATTAAATCTTGCTGATTTTGGTTGGTTTGCTTTTAGGATGACCAATTCTAATTCAGACTTGTTATCTTTAAAGTGCTTAAGTAGCATAGCATTATAAACCACATGTACTAAATATTGTTCACTGAAAAGTAGAGATGTCCTTGTGTGGAGCTCTGCATTTATTGACTGCATCCATGTAGCTTTCTTGCGAGTATTATGGAAATGATTTGTCATTGCGGTCTTGTGGCACTTTTTTTTTTTTACTTCCTTATCTGAGAAATGGTAGGAAAGAAGATCCTTCCAAACTCATCCACTTCACAAATGGAACAGAGAAGCTCAGAAGTGACTGTAGATTATATGACAGAAAATATTTGCCTATGTTAGTGCTGGCATCTTCTGCTTTCAGTAGGGCATGTTTTGGAAGTCACCTCTCAGCGTTCTATAGAGGATATGAAATATCTGCTTTCCCAGAATATGGATTTGCTGAATGCTTTTAGTTGTTTCATTTGACACCATTTTTAAGTTGATTGATTTTTTTTATTTAGTACCTGCCTTAAATGTTAGCCGTTCAGCACCACTTCATGAATTCTTGAACTTTATTTCTGAATGGCCAGTACTGTCATGGGTAGAGGTAAACGTGCCTTTGAAAACAGAGGAGAAATGTTCTCTGCCTCTGAAAGAACCCCTCAAAAGTGCAGTGATGTCGGTTCTGTTCTCCAGATGAATATACAAAAGCATTAGTTGTATTGTTACTGGTTTTCTTTTAGATTTTAAAGATACCATTCTGCATTCACGTACTTCTTATTTCATTTCATTCTTCAAATTGAAGAGAACAAATTACTGAACAAATTTGTCTTCCATATCTTGCAAGAACAACAGCCTCCTTCATCAAACTCTCAGGCAATTAAATTTGAGTTCATGTAAGAAGGCACTTTACTGTTAATAAAGTTTCGTGCCATTTGCCTCTGTAGGTTATTCAGAATGCTAAAAGATAACTATTTAGCTGATAAATATTTAGAGTTACCAAGCTGTAATAAATGCTTCAGATTAAAGCAGTGATGGTTATGTACTTGCAGGCTTCAGATGTTACACTGGAGATTGTCTCTTCTATCACAGTTATATCTTCAGGAAAAATATATGCATATTATGCTAAGGGAACTGTGGGAATTGCATGTTTATGCACATACTTAATCTTTCAGGGTTTTTGATACCACCTTCCAATGAACTTTTTTCTTTACGCTTGCTATGTGCTTGCTAACGCACATTTTACTCGTTCATAAAAATGACATATTCTTAAGTTGACTGGATTGGATAATGGGCATTAATGTCTTCATCACAAAGTTAGTTAATTTTGTTGTGTGACAAGAAACTTTGCTATATCATGTCTTTCTTTGCCAAAAAGCCAAAACTTTAACATCATTTTCTTTAGTGAAAAGGTTAGTTAAATGAAAGCTGGACTTTTTAAGTCACCAAGAGTATATGACATCTGTCACAGTACAACGTTTCTCTATGGCTTGATCCCAGAGCAGTTGTTAAAGGTACAATGTATAATAAATGCAATTTGACTGTGACTCAGTTATTACCTTTTTCAGATAGTGGTTGTAAAATTTCTGGGTTTACCCTTCACTTTTTATGGGTATAAAGGTACGTTAACTAATGGACTGTAGCCATACCTATGAAATTTTAATAGCTAGCTCCCTATAGGCAACCAATAGACAAAGGTTGTGACGTTCAGCTTTATAAAGTATAGACCAACTGTGTACCAGACATTTTTCATTGAAGGAAAAAAACCTCATAATTGTGCATGTGAAATATAAAGTCCTTTACTCTATTTTTAGTCAGGATATGAACATTTTAAAACTGTTAGTGTTGAAGCAAATCCATATTTTTTCCACTAGTCGAGTGAGCTTGATTATGTTGGTAGAACTTGTAATGACTACACTGATTGTCAAACATTACTAGTATATAGTACCAGAATAGTATTTCAATAAAAAGTTGTTTTATATCAGCAACACAGGAAAATTAATAAAGTACCTGAGTGCTAACCATTATTTTCTTCCTGTAGAAATATTATATTTTCTTAGTAATAATTAATCTTAGACTATTTACTCTCATTTTCACAGTATGAATCATTTTGTCTCCTAATTTGCTTATATTGCTTTGAGCTAAGCATCTCAGCTACTTTAATTTTTCATTTTAGCTCGAGTCAAGAAATATTTTCATTACTTAATGAAGACATTCTTTGCAACTGTACTTTTTTTTTGACCAGCCACATTGACTGCATAATCATCCTGCTGAAAAGCATTACTACTCCGCCTAGTTTCTACAGCCCTACATCAAGAGAAGCAGGCTAGTAATAAGCCACTCACCCTCTAAGTCAGGGGTGTCAAATTTGCAAAGTCACATGATGTGTCGCGACATATCGCAACTTTTTTTCCATTGCCGGCAATGGGGTGGGCGCGGTTTTGGCATGACACATCCGGCCCATGGGCCGACAGTTTGACACCCCTGCTCTATGTGTAACCAGGTATGCCTAACCAGGCTGCTACAAGTGATATCAAGTTTAAAAGTGCAAATCATGTCTTCCAAAAATATTTGCAGACCCTCTTATTTTTCCTCTGCACACAAGATTCAGAATCTCATCTATTTCATAGGTCATACATCCTATGAAATTAGTATTGGGTACTATACCCACAGCCATCCACCACCAACCCCGGTTTAGAAAAGGTCCCCAGGGCCTGGTAATGTGAGTATATACATAGCAATAGCACTTAGATTTATATGGCACTTCACAGTGCTTTACAGACCTCTCTAAGTGATTTACAGAGTCAGCATCTTGCCCCAAACAATCTAGGTCCTCAGTTTACCGACCTCGGAAGGATGGAAGGCTGAGTCAACCTTGAGCCGGTGAGAATTGAACTGCCAAACTGCTCGCAGTCAGCAGAAGTAGCCTGCAGTAGTGCACTCTAACCACTGCGCCACCTCGGCCACCACCATAGGCATATACACATTTTGTTTTCTCCTGGGCCTTAGGTCTGCCTTAGTCATTCTTTTTAGTACTATTTAATTTACGAGGGAAAAATTATAGAAATAAATGTCTATAGTGCTGCTGCAAAAAGAGAATTAAATTATCAATAGAACTCATTTAATTCAGTGGTTATGAGCTTTTTGTCTAAAAGGCAATTGCCTAATGATCTGGTATCTGATGTTTCACCAGCCTTTGTGACTCCTATCTTCAGAGGACCAAATGGTCTGCTCTTCAGTATACCTCTTCAGGAAACTGAGCAGGAACTGACTGAGCTCTTACATCTATAACAGAACTAATCTTTAATTGGGCCATGTCACTAGAATTCTGAAAAGCCAGTTTTATGAGGAAGGACCAATCAGAACTTCAAGAATTCCAATGTTATGGTCTAATTAGAGTTCCTGTTCATTTGAAATTATAGCATATGAATGCTGTAATTTGAATCCAAAACAAAGTTTTGGAGAAAACTAAATTGTATGAGTTAAAACAGAGGTCCCCAACCTTGACTACTTTATGACTTGTGAACTTCAACTCCCAGAATTCCTCAGCCAGCATGCTGGCTGATGAATGCTGGGAGTTGAAGTCCACAAGTCATAAAGTGGCCAGGGTTGGGGACCCCTGAGTTAAATAACTCTCAAATTTCTTACAATGTCCAACCGTTTTAAAATATTCATTAAGAGACAGAGAAAAAACATCTGATGATGTTTTACCTTTTTAAAAACCTGAATCCATTGATTTTTCAAAATTGTATATTACAAATCTTTCTTATATAGCTCAGATGTATAACTGGGTTAATAAAAATATCATTGCAGAATATATATGGATGTTAAAATGAAACCCCAGTGGTACAATTGAAAATTTGGTAGATTAAATCTCCCTTCACCATAATTCAGTTTGTCCAGAGACATTTGAGTGGTTTTGGTGTGCTCTTGATATTTTTCTCAGTAGTTTGCCTAACTGGGTAAAGTACCTGATGGAAATAAACACTGGAATCCCTCTTAATACACCATATTTGGAAGTATTTTGGAAAAAATAAACCAAAGTATATACATGCATTCTGTACAAATTGTAAATCGTAATTTCCTATTGTAATCTATAGTATAGTAATCTATAGTAGACTTGCCATAGATCCCCAAAGCAGCAAATTAAGCTTTCTCCAATTGTTATTGCCAGCAGAGTATAAAATACAGATGTATAACTTAAATAATATTTGGTAACAACACTACATAATTACAGGTGTTCCTCAACTTATAACCACAATTGGAACCAGAACTTTCATTAATAAGCAATTGTAGGAGAAGGTATGGCAGAACATGGGGGTAGAGTTAAAAGAGGATCAGCCTAGAATCCCTAGGTAGCCACAAGCTGAGTAAGTCAAATCCTCCCCTTGAATTCATTTGATCCTTATCTAACTCAAAGCAGGTGCTAACTGATAGTTGAGTACATTTGTGTGCATTGGCTGTTTAGTAATAAACCAGTTATTTGGAACTTAACATGTGAACCTGATCTTTCACGCCATACTGTAATGCTGTAATTAAGTGAGTCACCTCTGATGTTATTGTTAAGCAAATCACACGGTCATTAAGTAAATTCAGCTTTCTCCATTGACTTTGCTTTAGTAAGCTCCCCGAGGGTCACAAATGGTGATCACATGACCCTGGGATCCTGCAACCATCATAAATATGTGCCAGGTTCCAAGTGCCCAAATTTTGTTTACATGGCCATGGGGACAGTACAACAGTCATTAGTGTGAGAATTTTGAAAGTTATTTTGAATGGCTGTTAAATGACTGATTGTAAGTCAAGGACTATCCTATTTAAAATATTCATGATCTCATCAGCATATACAAATAGTTTCAATCTCAAGTGCCAGTACACCCTTAATATCGTGAGATTTATTTATTTACTTAAAGGAATTATGTGGCATACAGGAATAAAAAGAGAAAATAATAGATTTATTCTATACAAAACTGACCATTGTTGGCCTGAATTCCAGATGTATATATTTTATTGATTTTGATGTTTCAACCAGTGAACCATTAATTGTTCAGCTTTCTCTCCTGATTCCCAATAGATCTTATAAATACATTTAAAGGAATTTTTTTTTCTGAATGTAATGGCCCCAACTTAAGCCCAATTACTTTAAATATTTTATATACCGGTAATTTATTTGTAAGGTTTTCTGTCATAAGAAAATTTGAGTATTTCTCTCTTTTCCAGGTGTATGAAATCAAACTCTTTTTAAAAATCTTTTTGCTGAGGCAATGGTAAAAGTGGATCTACAAATGAATGCCTTAAACCTATCCCAGAGGATCAATATATTGGTAGAGTCCCTACTTATTTTTGAAAAAGAATAAATTTCTTCATGACATCTTCCACAAAAGACCTCTTATAAGAGAAATATTTGAATACCATCTGGAATTAACTGGTAGACAGTTTGTAAATTTCAGAATAAGAGTAGGTAGAGTGGGGTTTGAAATTGCCCATTTGAGGAGACAATAACTTGATTGACCAAAGGAGAAGAATTTTTGAAAGTAATCTAATCTAAAACTATTTTGATCTGTATTTGTATCTACTGTAAGTTCAGATTAAGGGACAGATGAGAAAATTAATAGGAAAATGTGCACGTAGGTTATTTCTCATACTGTTTAGAAAAATCCATGAGGAACTTCTATGATAACTATTTTCTTCTTTGGAAATCTAGCTTATTACTCTCAGAGATAATGTGGAAACAACATATGCACTGAGGTTTATTTAACTCAGGCAAGACTGATACAATGAAAGAGAGAGGGTTAGAGGAAGTGTAAGATAATATTTGGAAACCTTTTGATTCTGGTGAGTCCAAATTTAAGAAATTATCTTTTGGTGTAGAACAATGACTATTAAGGTGATCTGCTGAGTCAGAAAATGACTGGTCTCATGGAGAATGCAAAGCAATTATGGATCAGAAATGAAGTTGCTCCGTATCTTTTCTATCCCAGTTGTCTTTCCCTTGGAGGGTTCTATCTTCTCAGCTTGCTTTTGGTATTGTTTTTTTTTGGGGGGGGTGTTGGGGGCAAAGTAGGCAAACAAAGGAGGAATTTTATTTTCTAAAAATGCCCAAACAGTCCTTGTGAATCAAGAGATATCTTTGAAATAACATTATGCAAGAGATAAGGTTCTTACTGTGCAGCACACTAAGTTCCCATTTATTGGTTCTTAATAATTAATTTCACAAATTTAAATTTGGTGTGATAGGTATCCTCACAGGCTCCATATCTTTGGCCTAGGAGAATGATTGTTCATGTATCTTTAAAACATATCTGAAAGTACAAATAGTTCTTATCCTTTGCACATAGTTCACACACCATTATTTACCCTTGGTTTCAGACTTGCAAAATTTGCAAGAACTGCATGGATATTTCCTTGTTTTGCAGAAAGTTCCTGAATCATTTCATCATTATCACTATTTTTCTTATTTTTTAATTGATAACCTGAAGACAGTATTTTTTATAGTACTTCTCTTTTTTATAGTAACTTTATTTAAAGTTATAGTTATAAAGGTAAAAGCTAATAGAAACTAAAAATGAAGCCAATAAAACTAAAAAAGAATAAAAAGAAAAGAAAAAATTCAGAAAAGAAAAAAGACATTGAAAAGAAAAAGAAAATAAGAATGTAATAAAGAAAAAAGGAAATGTCTTTTCCCTTCATCACAAGTATAAGCAATTATAAGTATAAGCAATTTTAATAACTTATTACTTTCTCTTAAAATACAACAAATGACCTCTTCTTCCCATATCCAATCTCTTATTTACAAACAAATCCTTAAAGTCTCATCATTCAATCCTGATCAGCAACATTCTATTCAAGGTTACTAGAGATAACAACATACCTATTTTAACCTTGATCAAATCAACAAACTTTATATTCCTTCCTTTTACTTTTAGCAATCTTGGCTTTATTCCTAATGTCCTAAAACTTGATTTCTTTTTGTTTGTTTGTTTTTTTGTCTCTGCTTATAAAATACTTCAAAGCTTTAACAAGCATCTTTTGTAAAACCAATATTGGAATCTTAACCAGGTCACTCTTTTTGGGTTGTCATTTGTATATTCCTTTTAATCATCTGGTATCCAGTGTAGTCTTTTTTCCCCATATCTTTCTTCCAGCCTGTCATTTTTAAATCTAGTCTGAGATCAATCTTAGTTTTGTCCAATAAAACTTGTTCCTCTTCCATAACATCTTTTAAACCCAATGTATCTGTAGAGGAAGACATTCTTAAAATTAACTTCTGTGTCCATTGTTTAAAAATATCCTTTTGTGTCCAGTATTAAAATGTTTTGCTCCATTCTGTATTAATAAGTTAAATTTAAAAGTTCTTTTTTAATTGTAATCTTTAATTCCTTATGGTACAGACTTTGGTCGCATCCTATCATTTTTTTAAACAGAATTCAAAATAAAAACATTTTCCACTAGAAGGAGGGGAAATGAGAGGAAAGATAAATAAAGGTAGATTTTCCTTTTTTGTTACTGCTAACCTGTTAATATTATAGCTGTCGAATTATAAACCAAAATGAAAAAACTAAGAAAACTAAATGATCCCACACATGAAATAAATATCAATTTCATTGAATTAAGCTCTGTAAATGTTTTTGATTGTTTCTGAGCATATGTAGGTATATTGTCCTAAATGCTTTCAGTGTAGGCATTATGGATGCTATTTCGAACTGTTTGAATGCTTAAGGGAATATGAAATAGATATTCCATTTTCTATAAGAAAAGCAGATATTTGAGCAAATGTAAGCACTGCAGTATGTTTAAATCTTAAACAGTACCAATACTACTATGAATCACATGAAAAGGTTGAATTATCAGAGATGGTTTAGAATTGAAATTGTAGATTGTATTGAAATTTTACTCTTAAATTATGAGATAAATCCTCCAAAACATCTAGCTACTGTTCAGTGCAGTGTTGGCATTAGCATAACATTCTTCTATTAATATTGGATTTGTTTGCATTTGCTTTCATTTCTTGTATTAATTTCAAATGAAATTTACAGTAATGAAGTTGTAATCCTGGACAATACGAGTGAAGGGAGGGAGGGAGAGAGAGAGAGTAGTCTAAGTCTTATTTGGAGTCTTGCCAATTTTGCAGCAAGGCCTGTGTTAGCTGTTCAGTTTCTTGATTTATTTGAGAAGTATATTTTACCTGCTGGATGTGAAAACAATTTGACATGCAGCTGACCAGTTTTGAGCAAATAACTTCTTTTAGTCCTTACTTGCCATAATAGCATAAGATTTGTTCTCTTACAGAT